CACAAACACCTGTAGAGTTTTCGTAGGTTCTATTTACTGGACAAACAGAGATACACAAGCGAGGCAGCTCTCATTACTCTGTCTGGGGATCAACTAACCTTTCAGGCGACATGTGGCAAGTGATACATTAGCAGCTTCCATATGTCTCCAGGCACATTAATTAAGTGTGTGGGACATGGTAAATACATTGCCACACGCTGCTAACTAGGCTGAATAAATAATGTATATAAATGGAGCACATACATAATATACATACAGCATACATAATATACATACAGCATACATAATGTACATACACCTCCCTGCCCCCCCTATACGTTCATAGCAAAGTCTTGAGCGGACCTTTTCTTTTGGATCCATTCTGAGCGTCGAGGGACTTGATCACTGGGGAGGGTATGGGACTCAACACTGGCGGCGGGGTCAGCAGAAGGTGTTGTTACAGGGCGGAGAAAACAGTGGTTCCTCCACCACACACGACCACTGGGTAACCGCACCTGGTAGTCCGGTGACCTACCGAGACCCATGAGTACGCCCTCTTTGTCCCAACGTAGGGAGGTCGGGTCCTGAACACGGACTTGGGTGCCGACACTCAACTTGGGAAGAGGACGGGCGTGGTCGTTGTAGCGGGCGACGACGTCCTGAACACGTTCGGCGGCTCGGCGATCACAATCCTCTGTCTTGGCCTGCCACTCCTTGGAGAAGGATTGAGGGTGAGCAGGGACACAAGAACGAAGGGGGCGTCCATACAAGATCTGGGCAGGGGAGCATCCGGTGTAGTTAGGTGTGTTGCGGAGTTCAAGAAGACCCCGGTCGAAGGCCTCGCAGTCAATATTCCCAGAAGGGGCCACCTTAAGGATGAGGTGCTTCAGGGATTTGACAGCAGCCTCAGCGTGGCCGTTGGACTGCGGGTAATGGGGCGATGACAACACATGCCGGACACCCCATCGGTCAAGGAACACAGCAAAGCCCCGGCTTGTGAACTGGGGCCCTCCGTCGGTTCTCAGGCACACGGGAACGCCCACTTCACGGAAGTAGTGGTGGAACTTGCTGATGGTGGTCGCAGACGTCAAAATTCAGCATTTCAGTTGTTCTTCTGAGGAAGGCCACCCGTATATGTTTTTACCAGTATGTTTTATAAGGAATAAATCAATTAAGATATGCCAGGTTTCACCCTTCTTTACTTCCTTATCGATCCGGTCACGAAACCTAACCCAATGCTTCCAGTCCACTTGCCCGCTACCTAACGAGCTACATGTTGTCCAGAGGGCTGGTGGCAAGGACCCAGGAAATTGGAAGATTAGAGTGTTGTTATCCCTTAGACTTAGGTGACCAGAATCTGCAGCATATCGAGGAACACTAAAAAGTAGCAATGTATGGGGAAACAGGCCTCTCAGGGGTCACACCTACCCATGTTTTGCGGGCGTGGAGTTTAATAAGATTCTATTAGTTAAAGAGATCAAAAATAACGTGGAATTATGACAGCTCACTTTGAGATTCTTATTAAGCGGTAACGTTCACAAATATGCAACAGTAATTACACAGACTTTAAACAACTGTTACTCGTCACGGTTTGTTACACTACACACACTGTAAAAACATCAGACCATTATGCATCTGGCACAAAAAGCATACAAAATAAAAATAAAACATGTTACATCTAATGATAAACGGCAGCTAAAACCCAACCCATTATCAGACAACAGGCATAGGCAACAAAATACAAGAACTAATCACATAGAGAGAATAATAACAATAAAAAAACATAAAAATGTTATACAAAAACAAAAACCAAAAAATTTAATATAACAATACAAACCCAAAAACAGCTCTCATATCACAAGTCCAAAGAGGAGACTAACTCAAATGCCACTGACACCACTGAGATTTAACTTAGACTTCCCAAGCCAGGACAGATGAACAGACCCCACAAGTCGAAGGAAATGACATGCTTATCTTAAAACAAGAGACCATCCCTACTCACGAAAGGCAGCAACCCAATGATCCTTAACGAGCTGAGATTCATGAATACATGCAAACCCCCTAATGGTCCTGTGAGCACAGCCAAACTTAAACTATTTGTACTATGGCATTAGCCATATGAAAATCAGCGCCATTGTCTATGCCTGGCCCCAACCTAAAAGTCACAAACACAACCCTATATTAATCCACAACAAGCAAGCTAAACTTTACCGGCAAAACTTGAGAACTCAACCGTATCTTTACTCAACTAGCAAATAGATAACCCACGATGATTGCCAACCATCTTCCAATCTCTGTGCTCACCAAAAACTGACAATCCCCATCAAAAAATCAAAAGAAGGTTAACACAGATTACTCAGGTTACGTTAGCTAGACCTGAATCGCCAGCTTGTCCCAATTAAATCCAGTCCGCTCACATATTTATATTTGGCTTTTAAGTAACGAAAACCAAAACGGTAGTTCCTTGTTTATTATAGGTTGTATATATAACACCTGAGTATATATCAACCAGCAAGTCTCACTGTCCAGGAGGAATGAGAGCGACGGTATGATAAACGTTAGCCGTCTCATGACAGAGCAGTGAGATATAAGCTTAGGGCATCAAGAGCGCGCCACAGAAATGCTGAGCCATGTCCGCCTCCTAAGTTGCCGCCAACGCACAATCTCATGTCTTACCCACAGACAGGAAACAGGTGGGAATCCAACATACATCATATGCATTGACCCACTTACATAACACGTCTGTTGATGACAGGCTCATACATCATCCTCTGTCACCACCAGGATTCAGAGGCCTAAATAACCACAGCAGAAGACATCCTAGACAAACCCTAACCACAAGCAATAAAACAGATACAGTAGACACTTGGCCAAAATCACAGGAAGTATTCTCACTACAGGACCCAGACTTTGCAGTAATGGTTAGTATGTTAAACAATGTTGAATTTGATGATACTGCCCGCAATACAGAACAGGAACATTCCATTAGAATTAACAGAACAGAGGAACCGTAAGACTCAGCAAATCATGACAGGTAAAATAAGTTATTATCAAACCAGCAAAACGTCCTGAACATGCAAGGGCTACAGAATCCAACTCCTTAAAAACAACACGCCCCGGTGGTTTCAACTAACGACTGATTCTCCAAATCAGAACATGCCTCTAAATCTAACCTGAAAGAAAGGATACATTAAT